CAATCGTTTAAATTCCCGTGATTCATCACTTATTCCATCCATAGAAATCAATTCTAAAGATAATAAAGGTAAAAGTTCCCGACAAATATCTGATTATGATCAATGGGAACTCAATCAAATGAGAAATGCAAAATGTATTGATGTAACTCAATTACCAAATTATGATGAAGAAACAGGTGTATTACTAAAAGACGATGATTCCGATGGTGAAGATTTAGAAGTCGCATTAGTCGATGAAGAAGCGCCATTTCTAAAAGGTTATGGCAAACAAAGTACACAAGATTTAAGTCCAGTTAAAATTGTTAAAAATCCAGATGGTTCATTACAACAAGCAGCTATGATGCAAAATGCTTTATCAAAAGAACGACGAGAAATAAAACAACAACAACGTGAACAACAACAACGCAGTGAAACGTTTCGTCCCAATGGAACAAATTATGATGATCCAATCACTACAGAGAGTTCTACGTCACGCCAATTAACACCAGCAGAAATCAATGCAAAAGCATCAGCTAATATGTCAGAATGGAAAAAATCTTTAATGAATAATAAAACAACATTTGGTAAACGAACAACAATGAGTATTATTGAACAACGACAAAGTTTGCCTATATACAAATTGAAAGAGCAATTACTTAAAGCTGTCAATGATAATCAAATACTTGTTGTTATTGGTGAAACAGGCTCAGGTAAAACAACACAAATAACACAATATTTAGCTGAAGCTGGTTATACATCACGTGGTAGAATTGCATGTACACAACCACGTCGTGTTGCTGCTATGTCTGTCGCAAAACGTGTTGCCGAAGAATTTGGTTGTCGTCTTGGACAAGAAGTTGGTTATACAATTCGGTTTGAAGATTGTACATCACCTGAAACAAAAATAAAATACATGACAGACGGCATGTTATTACGTGAATGTTTAATTGATCCAGATATGAATCAATATTCTGTGGTTATGTTAGATGAAGCACATGAACGTACTATTCATACTGATGTTCTTTTTGGTTTAATGAAACAAGCTGTTCAAAAACGCTCTGAATTAAAACTTATTGTGACATCAGCTACACTTGATTCTGTAAAATTTTCTGAATATTTCTTCAAGGCACCAATTTTTACCATCCCAGGTCGAACATTTCCTGTTGAAGTACTTTATACAAAAGAACCAGAAACAGATTATCTTGATGCATCACTTATTACTGTCATGCAAATACATTTAACTGAACCACCTGGTATGTTGTATTATTTATTAAAAACAAAATAATTTTCATTTATATCATTATTTAGGTGATATCTTGGTATTTTTAACTGGTCAGGAAGAAATCGATACGGCATGTGAAATTTTATTTGAGCGAATGAAGACATTAGGTCCTGAAGTCCCTGAATTAATTATTTTACCAGTCTATTCAGCTTTGCCTAGTGAAATGCAAACAAAAATCTTTGATCCTGCACCACCTGGTTCACGAAAAGTATGTTTTTCTAATGAAAAAACAAGTTAAAAGATATTTTCATTTCCTTATATTGTTCTCAATAGGTTGTTATTGCAACAAATATTGCTGAAACATCATTAACAATTGATGGTATCTATTATGTAGTTGATCCAGGATTTGTTAAACAAAAAGTGTTCAATCCAAAATCAGGCATGGATAGTCTTGTTGTAACACCAATTAGCCAAGTATATTATCGTTGCTCTTTCTTTTTTTTTTATTGTTGTGAGAATAAAAATGAAATGACTTCTATTTAGGCACAAGGAAAACAACGTATGGGCCGTGCTGGCCGAACTGGTCCAGGAAAAGCTTATCGGTTATATACTGAACGAGCATATCGTGATGAAATGCTTTCCACAAATGTACCTGAAATTCAACGAACAAATTTGGCCAGTACAGTCTTAAGTTTGAAAGCAATGGGTATCAATGATTTACTATCATTTGATTTTATGGATCCACCACCATTAGAAACAATGATTATGGCTATGGAACAATTACATGCATTAAGCGCATTAGATGATGAAGGTCTTCTAACTAAACTTGGGCGCCGTATGGCAGAATTTCCACTCGAACCCCAACTGTCGAAAATGTTAATTATGTCAGTTGAATTACGTTGTGCCGATGAAGCATTAACAATTGTTTCAATGCTTTCAGTTCAAAATGTTTTCTATCGCCCTAAAGAAAAAGCAGAACAAGCTGATCAACGTAAAGCTCGTTTTCATCAAGCTGAAGGTGATCATTTGACATTACTTGCTGTTTATAATGCTTGGAAACAAAATAAATTTTCAAATTTGTGGTGTTATGAAAATTTTGTTCAACAACGGTCACTTAAACGTTCACAAGATATTCGAAAGCAAATGTTAGGAATAATGGATCGGTAGGTTGATTTTCTTCGTTTTGTTTTTATCAATAAATATTAGACAGCAAAAACTTTATTTATTTTATTTTATTTTTCTTCTATTAGACATAAACTTGACGTTCTAACATGTGGAAGACAAACAGGCCTTGTTCAGAAAGCAATTTGTTCCGGTTTCTTTCGAAATGCAGCTAAGCGTGATCCTCAAGAAGGTAGTAACTTAAAAAATTAAGAACTCATTTAGAATTATATCTATGAATATATTTTAGGTTATCGAACATTAGTTGATAGTCAAGTTGTTTATATACATCCGTCAAGTTCAATTTATCATCGACAACCAGAATGGTACGTATAAGAATTCCCTTATTTCTTTTTGTCTCATTCAAATGTTACGAATGTATGAATTGCTAGAAGAAAAACTTACCATATCCACTATCTATTGCATTTGAACTCTGCGCTACGTTAACTAGCAAATATCTTGATGAACATACGAGAGAAAAATTGAAAATTTTCAACATAAACTAAGAAAAGAGCTCCATTGAAAGTGAGATTTTCAGACGTATCTTATTTCAATGAAACTATCTTGTAAAAAATGGTTTGTAACAATCTCAATCGAGTCACAAAACAAAACTTTTCCATTAGAGGTTGATGCTATTTGAAAATTTTTAGAAAATTCAGAATCAGTTAGAAAAAGTTTTCTTTTTGGGTTTGAATTTTCATATTTCATGAGCAAACGATTAACACCATCTATATTTTTATTTTCGTTTAGGCTTTGCTATCATGAACTTGTATTCACAACCAAAGAATATATGCGTGAAGTTTGCGTTATTGATCCTAAATGGCTTGTAGAATATGCACCAAAATTTTTCAAATTTGGAGATTCAACAAGATTATCAAAGATGAAAAAAGAACAACGAGTCGAGCCATTATTCAACAAATACGAAGAACCGAATTCATGGCGTATATCTCGCCTTCGTCGGCCATATTACAATCCAGCTGGAAAATTTGGTTAACTACGTGTCTATTTTTCTCGTCTTGTTCTTCTTCTGTTTTGTTTTGTATATGCAAAATTCTTTATGTTTGTTTGTGTTTATTTATGAGAAAACAAAAAATAACGTGTTATTCATTTGAATAAAATCTTGAGCTGGTTTATTGAATTGATTGTCAAGATTTAAAGATCAGACAATAAATCGTTTTTGTAGTATATTTCAATCAAAATCTATCATCTTGTAGGTGTACTTAGTAAGACATTCACATTGCTTTCTGGGTGATTTATAGTAACAAGAGAAACATTTGATTTTTGAAAGTCAAAAAAAAGTAACACTTCAAGTAACATTCATGTCATCGTGATTTATATTTTCTAAAATTTAATTTGAGTTGCTACTAAAAACATCCGATCTGAAATAAGATATTCAAATTGATCATTCACAAATACACATTGGTATATATTAGTGGTGTTAACTATATGATAGTGAAAGGAGCCTGAGTTACGTTCTCATAAAAAACATCGAATTATCTTTAGCAGCCTTCAGAGATAGATTCATTTTTCCTAGCAATTATTTTACAGTAAGCCCACTACAATCAGTGTTCAGTAATATTTCTCAATCTTCATGCGTGTTCTGTTTCATGTAGGTGTCTGTCGTGAATCCGTTTCCCTTGCTCATTTCTGCCGCATAAACGTTGCAAGAGTGATTCATAAACATACACAGACAATTACCATAGACCAAACGGGTGATGATGATGATGATGATTATAGTATTTCTAGAACGCTCAAATTTTACTTGATGACCTTTACAGCAATCCATTAAAAATACGGATTTGAAATCATCTGTTTCAAAATTTTTGTAAACTGTTCGATGTTAATCCTAGACAGTTCACTTACAAATACACGCTATTCGTGTAATATTAGAGATGCGAAAGTTCAGAGAAGTTATCACAATAACAACGATTTTTCTTCCAAAAAAATGATAATCATTTTTATTGTAAAAGTTATCAGAACAGAAAAGTCTTCTGGGCTGCTTGGCAACAAATGGGTAATAATATGATCTTTTTCACTCTATTGTTAAAAATAAATTGACTATTCTTATATATCAGAGTAAGTGATGGTTTGATTGCTTTAAATTTTTTGGAACAATATCAAAGACTTGATAATCAAAATGATTAAATAAAGCCAAAATAAATTACAGAGATCACGAATAAACTAGAACTAATATGTAAACTGCTGGTATAAATATGTCGAGATCCTGTTTTTTTTGATTGATAATCCATTTTTTGAGTGTTTATACGTCATTTTCAGATGCGTACTGCTAGAAAGTGTCAACAACAATGAATAGTTTCTTTTTCATAAAAACAAATAAACAAGGTAACAGTCTATTAATGTCAATAATATGGTGAGTAAAACGCGGATGTTCAAGTTCTTAGCAAAGTAAATCATATTTAATGAAATTCTTACAAAGAGAATTCCAGTTTACATGTATGGTTTAGGTCTAGGCATAAATAGGATTAATTTTCGATTAGTTTAATAAGTTTGTTGCCTATCTCGCTCGGATAGATTAGTTGTATCTTTAAATTAAATTTTGTTTTAAATTTATTTTCAGAAAACAGAACAGTTAAGAAAGCAATGTACAAAATTTCAATCATTGTATCATTGAAATTGATTATTTCAAAGCATTCATTTTCATGATACATCGTTGTCGATAGCATTCTTGAAGTTTCGTAGAATCGAATCTTGCTTCGTTTGAACGTATGAAACTGACTGCTGCTTGTATTAAATGATAAATAGTTTCTTCCAGATGATCATCACGCAATTCATTTACAGAGAAAATTTGAAGTATTGATAAAAAATCTTTATACGCCGATTCGTCACGTTGACCTGTGATAAGATCAGTTACAACAGCAGTTAATTTTAATATATCAATATTTTTACATAATTTCATTTTCATCTGATCATTAATTTCTTGCTTAGTTTCCAATTTATTTTCATTGACAGCAGTGGTTATGTTCGTCATTCGAAATAATATATTTTTTGACTGTTCATGTTTTCGTTCAAGAGAACGGATCGTTTGAGGAAACGCATCTAGTTCATAGTTTGATGCTTTTTGACCAGACCAATCTTTAATATCACATTGCCAACCGGCTGTTGATACTTTATCATTATCTCTAGCTGATTCAATATCATGGTTTAGTTCGTCAGGTGCCTGTATTTGTGTGCGAATACTATCAAGTAATGGTATTGGTTCGCCGGAAGAGGTTACATTCTTTGAAGTACCATTTTTTTTACGTGATTTCGGCATTCTACTAGTATCTGAGTTAATTATCTATTTACATCTACAAGAAAAGTTGAGTTATTCGATAATTTCCATCTTTTAACTAGCCACGGCAAATGAATTTCTTTAGTCTACTAACTGATTCATAATTAGATTCAACCCATCAATCAGGACGAGAAAAACAATTTCAAGCTCGAAACGTTCAATATTCTTATCACGTGTAAGCAAATAAGACAAAATAATGTCACATATAGATCCATTCTTGGTTTTATTTCAATAATGATCTGTTCCTTCAAACACGCACATACAACGATCAGATGAACAGAAATAAAGCCATTGACAACACATAAACAAAATGAAAAAAAAAAAGAAACGATTTCTTTACACAATACACGAGTGTAACTATGGAATACAACGAAAAGAAAAACAAGAAAGCTCAAGCAATCATTATAGATCTAGTCATCATCATTATTTTTTGTTTCACTCTCTCCTGGTGTTGGTGATGACCGACTTTCATCGTTGTCATCGTTATCGATTTTTTCATTATTCGATTTATCAATATCGTTTTTCTTTGTTTCTTTTTTAGTATCATCATCTTTTGATGGTGATCGAGATCCACGATCACGATTTTTCTCAACCGGAGTTGATGAACGTTCACGCGATGAACTAAATAAAGCAACACGATGAAATCTAAATTTACAAAAAAATCAAATTCACGTTACCTTCGTTGACGTGTTCTATTAAACAAAACGAGAGATACAGAAAAGGAATGGCTTTAATTTTCTTTTCAACAATAATAATCTTACTTTTTTTCTACCGGTGATCGACTTGATGATGAACGACGTTTACGTTTACTTTCTTTCTTTGAACGTGAATGTGATCGCGAACGACGATGTCGTCGTGATGATCGACGTTCTTCATGAGATGATGAGCGAGATCTACAACAAACAAACAATAATTGACTTTTCTTGTCAACATCGTATCTAGAGATATCTTACCGTGATCGAGTTGGTGAACGTTTTCGATCACGTCGGCTTGGTCGTCGATCATCATCATCACGTTTTGTATCGGGTGATCTAAATATATGAAAGTTTTTCATTTGAATTTTTCTTTCTTGATTAAAAACAACCAACAACATTAAAAAAACATATCTTTCATAATTCCATGAATATAGCATGTTCATGCGCCATCGCACTGTGTTCGTCAAAGACTTTTAAATAAAATTACTCACTGTTTGCAGAGAAGAGTACGCAGAGGAGAACTGCAGAATAGGAGATCAGCTGGCTGAAAAGTATCTGTAGAAATGCCGCTGTATACATGTGTAGAAATACGATCAGAATAGATGAGCATGAACAACTGAGATGATGATCATGGATGAACAGAGGCAGCAACAACGCTGAACAATAGGACATAAATAAATGGGATTAGCAAGAGAAAACAAAAAAAATTAGGAAAAACAAATTAATTTTTTTTATCTCCAGAATATTTAAATCATTAGAAAAATACAAATACTAGCTGAATCAATCCAATTTTTTTCTGAGATCATTCACTTACCGATAACCGGGTGATCTTTGACGTAAGTAGCCACGCCCAAATGAGCCACCTTTTTTACCTCCTGTTGGCCGAGCATGTTCGACACGAACACGACGTCCACAAATAGTTCTAAATGAGAAGAAAAAAAGAAATTATATTGTCAGAGAAAATTTGCTAAAATTTTTACCGTCCATCGAGTTCTTCTACAGCACGTTCAGCATCATCAGCATGTTTATAAACAATAAAAGCAAAACCTGGTGGATTACGTGCTACCCAACAATCAACAAGTGGACCAAATGTATCAAATTCTCTTTCTAATTCAAATTTATTGGTACGACTTCCTAAAAATGATATTGTCTAAGATTTTATTTAGTTTTATATTTTCATCACTTACCAAGATCACCGCAAAATACTCGATAACCCCCAAAATTTCTATCAAATTGTGGGCCACCCATGTTTAGTATTACAATTGTGCAGTAGATGAATGTAACAAACTTTCTATCTCGACGTCCAAGTTACTCTCTAAAATGAAGAAAAAATGTCCAACATTTCTTTAATATGTTACTCAATAAGAATGAAAATTGTTTTTTTTGTTCGACTAGAAAGACATATTCTTTTCTTCGTACGTCCGTCCGCGTCTATTTGTCAAGTATATTTTATAAGTTATCAATGCATTTGGTAACCGTTAGTTTTCATTCGCCTGATTTCAATCTAATAAAATTATTATCTTGCTCTGTCTGTCTGTGTCGTTGGAGACTTGAATGCATTACAGCAAAGCATGCAACATGCATTCATTCATTGGATTTGTGACTGTTGTGAAATTTTCGATGAGTCATACTACTTTAACAACTACTGATTTAGCTATGCATTTTATTGAGGTGTTCGATAAATATGGATCCTATACTCTATTTAATATATAAAAATAAAAGAGCTCTATTCTAAAATCTAAAGAAATACTCTTCTCTACGAGCAAGTTACGCTGTAGTATGTGTGCGTTTGCAATTTGTTTTTGGTTTGTGCTGCTCTCTAGACTTTCATTTTAATAACTCTACGTACAATGAACAAAATAAGTGAATGCAATGGATGATGAGATGGTAACTGCGGTCTATATTCAATTCTTAGTTATTTTAGTTACGATCTTCTTGATTCATTCATTGATGTAAGATATTTTTTGTAGATGGCGCGAGAAGTACGTATCATTCATAGCAATGGCGAAGAAAAAGTAGGTGTTTATTCCTCTGACAGCAAAGGATAGTATTAATTGAAAGTTTTCTTTCGGTTTCTGAAAGATGGCATATCGAAATGAAAATGGTTTTGTTCGTTCAACAAATACGACGACACCAACAGCAACACCTGGAACCAATACAGGCGATAATGATCGAAGTGTAAATTGATGAAGTGAAAATAATTTTTGTTTTATTGTATTTCATTTTATTTCTCTCAAGCTTTTGGATAAACGTGCTATTCAAGAATTAATTAAACAAGTAGATCCAATGATGCAAATCGATGAAGAAGTTGAAGATGTATGTTTCTCTTGATGATCAACTCATGATTTTTGAATTATACTTCACTACAGATGTTGGTTCAAATAGCAGAAGAATTCGTTGATTCAACATTAGCTGCTTCATGTCAAAATGCAAAACATAGAAAATCGAATACTGTTGAATCGAAAGATGTTCAACTGTATCTTGGTAGGTCGAATCCCGCTGAATATGGATAGGAGATTTTGTTTTATTGTATTTTACAGAACGAACATACAGTATGTGGATTCCAGGCTTCGGTACGGAAGATCCAAAACAATATAAAAAGTTTCTAACAAATGACGTACTTAAGGCAGTAGGTTATTGTACAATTAAAAATAATCCGTTTTTTTATGCATTTTAATTTTTAGTCATTAAAAACACCATACATGTCGTCAACAGCAAATGCTAAATCATCAAATTCTAAACAGCAACCGTCTCAATCTACTTAATTTGTGAAAGGGCATACTTATTTTTACTTTCCAGTGTTGATATTGTTAAGAATGAAATAAAATCGTGTATATATTCTGCATAAATTTATTCTTTTACTTTTCGTATAGAAACAATTAGAGTTCTTAAAACTAAGTCAGTGTCGTTGATATAACATACCAAAAAATAAACCAAGCAGTACGAACAACCCTATTTTACACTCTTGCCTACAGTTTTCAATTGTATTTTGAGGCTCAAGTATGACTAGTTATTTTTCATAAATGGATCAAAATAATCCAAAAATCTACAAAAAAAATAGTATTGAAGAAATATTATTTTTTGTGAAATGAATCATACTGACATGATAGTAGAATATTGAGTCAGATGAATAAAAATATATACGAAAAAACATGACTTCTCAACACTGGAAGTAGCGAATCGAAAAAATTTGAGAGATTCCGATTTTTAAAAAGCAGTGTAACATAGAAAAGTATTTTAAAGGCACATGAGCAAGTGTCATGATTGATTTGCCTGGTATAGATAATGTCATTATGCATCAGCTTACTGTATTTACTTATCGATTTTGTATTTTCAGATGTGTTTGTTGTATATAAATGATAAAAAGCATATGATACTATTACTGATCAATTTTTATTAGAAAAAGAAAATCAACTAGATATATCACATTATTTTTTCAAACAATCTAGTAATATCTTCATTGAAGTTCTTCAACTACCTCCGTAATCATTTTAAAATTAAATCATAACGTAAGCAAAACATGTGAAAATATATTCACTGAGAAAATTTGTTAATTTTATCATATAGTATATTAGTTTTATTTGCTTTCACTTTAGATTCTATATTTTATATTTCTCTCGTGATGAATATCATCGTTATCAAGTTAATTCTTTCGGCTGTTTTTTTCTTTTCGACTTTTTTTGTTTCAACTCTACCTATTTACCTATTTTCATGGATCAAAAATCGTAACAAATCGAGTTCTACTCGAGTACAAATTTCATCATGCTCGCTCAATACATTATTAACTTGCGTAACTTCATTTGGTGGTGGCATTTTTCTTGGTGCATGTTTACTTGATTTATTACCTGAAGTTGTTCATCATATTAATACAACTATCAAAAATGAATTTCAATATGATAATCAAAATTTTAAACGTTATCCGATCGCTGAATTTCTTATTGGTTGTGGACTTTTTTTAGTTCTATTTATTGAACAAGTAATTTTATCGTGTCAAACAGTTTCTGTACATTCCGTAGCACATATGAGTAAAAAGCCGACAATAGTATTGTCACCTGAAGATGATGAAACATCGTTTGCAAATGTAAACGATCAAGATCCATTAGTGATTAGAAATTCGAGTAGTGAACATCAATTTGAGATTAGTGAACATAAAGATAACTTGACGACAAATAAAAATCGATTAATATTAACAAGAAATTTTATTTTAATACTTTCTTTAATTATCCATTCAATATTCGAAGGTATGGCACTTGGTTCCAATAATGAATATAAATCATTTTTTGAATTATTTTTTGCTATTATCCTTCATAAATCGATTATTGCATTTAGCGTTGGATTAAAGTTAATGAATATAACAAATAAGCGTTTAGCTTATTTGTCATGCTTTTTAATTTCAATTGCAACACCCATTGGAATTTTATTTATAATTAGTATGCAAGAGTTATTACCTACAAATCGTGCTACAAAAATCTTTCATGAAATTTTACGTGCTTTTGCATGTGGAACTTTCTTTTATATCACATTTTTTGATGTTTTACCAAATGAATTAAACATGTCTACACATCATCGACATTCTTCATCAAATAATGCAAATCGTTGTCGTCTTGCGAAAGTTTTCTGTATACTTCTTGGCTTTAGCTTTATTGGATTACTATCGTTTTTAATGAAATAAATCTCATATGTAATATGTTGTTGCCTATTTTCTTTGTAATAAGTGTTATTGTCATTGTAATTGTCTATCATTCAACAAGAACAATAAAGCGTTCATACGAGTTCAAAAGAATTTTGAATAACGAGTTTTTTATCGAATAATGGATGTATAGAATTCAACCATGTAAACAAATGCGCACTATGGAAAATAGAATTCCCTTAGGGAAAAAAAAGAGAAAAGTCTGCATACCTAACGGTTCTAGTTTATTTACTGATACGAAATATCAAAACAGTTTCATCTCTAATGTAACTATAGAAGATTTTACTTGTTCGAATGAAAACTATTTTGATTAATAAAAATTATTATTTTATACAGCTCTCTATGTGCAAAACTAATCGATTTCTCTGTTTGTTTCTATAAGTTTTCGAAGAATAAAATGAATCTAACTCTTGTTCCATTTTGTTAGTATTGGAAGGTGTTTTGTAACTTTTAGATGATTTATTTCTTGTTGCTGGCAATCGATTGTGAACAAGAAGAAATTTGAAATTTCGTGATTAAACATTTCACTGTGAAATTCAATTCTATATATTGACCATAATATAGAATCTATAGTTCAAGGAAGTTGTCTGCTCACTGATATAAAAGAGAAGAAATACTGCTCATGAGAATTAGGAGCCACAAGAGCAGTCGTGCGACACCAGGCCCGCATGCTATTACTAATGTTATAGAGAGTGACAAATATGATGCATTCGGGTTTATCTTTTACTGGTACAGAATTAAAAGTTGAATAATGATTCATGAGAGAATATTAGCCAGTTCGATCATTGTTTACCTGTCAGATAGAATTTAATATTGGTAGGGCAAAAAAATCACTGGCGTCTCAATTGTCAATATCATCTTAAATTATTGTTGCAATATGTTCCATCATACTGAGATCGATTGATTCTCTAGACTAGATATCTCCAACAAATACTTGATCATATTTTGTTGGATACATCACTTTTTTTACTTAAGATAAATATAACCTCATCAATGGCTATTTTTTCATTCCTTGTTTCATAGACAACATGTGCTGCATTCGATTGAGAGTGAGCTGTTACTCGTCAGTCTAAGATTTACCATTATCTTGGTAATTGAATTTCACATCTATATGCTGTATCCTTAAAAACAGAATTCTTTTTTTGTCGTATCTAAGTTCCTGACAGCTGGTTAATTTATGATTAGATGTTGAGTTTTGATAAATGTGATGAGATTGATTACACTTCTTTCATTAATTTTACTGCTATTTTTATATTGAGGGAGAAACAGTCGTCAAGAATAACTAATTGGCTAGAAATTTTCCGGCCACAGATTGAGTTTTTTTGGTAATAATGAAATAATTTTATTATGATTTTAAAAATGAAGGAAAAAATATAGAAACGTCTATCTGATTAGATTACTATTGTTTCGTTTATTTCAAAAAAACGACTATGTCGTTAGTTTTACAGATCTTATCGATGATAATCTGATATCCATCACCTTAGGAGCAGAAAATTAACATTGATCTTTATCGACATTCTCTTCGATTTCAGATATTTCGAAATTTAATCGTTTCAGTAAGGACAAATATAATGTAAGAGATCACAATAGAAATCCTTGTCAAATGCTAAAGGCAACTCGTCTTGTTTTTTTATCTTTAACAAGATATACGTTCCAATCTTGTTTATATCAAAGTATCTCTATCAACCTTGTCCTATTAATCAAATCTTTGCAAATACAGTTCTTTTCTTGATTTCAAGTAATTGTTCACATAATATTCGTAGTACGTATATAATGTCATTGCATTGTGAATTCTTCAACAACTATGAAAACAAAACCTTTTTCTATTAATATCGCAGTCAAACTAAAGACATTTGACTCAATTCATTAGTCTTCAATACTATATTTCAATATTTATTGTCAAAAAGTTGAACTGGTTCAAAATGAGACATGCTATGTATTTTGTTTTTCTCTTGGATTTTGATATAATATATGACTGATTCATTAGATTTTCAAAATATTTATTCGACTGAATTATACTCAAAAAAGAAACAAAAATGACACACTTTTCCTTAATAATCTGGCATGCAATAGCCTTTTGTCGTATACAGAGTATGATTCAAAACGAAAAGAATTCAACTTTGAAATAGATCAATTTATCGATTAGACATCAAATATAATTCGCATTTAATTTCCTCTATCTCAGTTTCATGTTTCGCATTTAATTTGTCGATTGTTGATACATGAATATCACTTAGATAATTCATTTTTGAATCAAAACTTGTTTTTAAATTGCTGAGTGCAGTTCGAAAATTATCAATATATGTATTGAATAAATTTAAAGGCCTTTGACGTTGTTGATTAATTAAATGATGACAAAGTTCATTCATTTCACAGGATTGATGTTGAATACAATCATTGATCATTTTTGAATGTGCACCTAATTCTTTTTGATGCAATAATCTATACATTGGTATGAATAGAAATAAAAATATCGATGATGATCAAAGTAAAAAAGTAAACTGACCTTAAACTTTCAATATCTTCAATACTTTTTTGTAAAATATTTGTTACGTAAGCAGATAAGTTCGTAGTAGTACCCTGAACTAATTCAGCGTGATGTTGAACAACAGATTGTATTTCATCTTGAAATCGTTGTTGTAATAAACGTGACTGTTCAGCAAATTCAGTATTATTACGTGCAGCTATTTGGGCTCGTAATTGTTGAAGTTGACATTCAAGCATATGTTTATCCAATTGAAGTTTTGTTATTAATTCATTTTGTTGTTTATCTTTTTTCTCGTTGATAGTTTCCACAAGTAATTTCTTTTTATCTTGATTTTGTTCATCTGGTGCGACCACAACAATGAGGTCTGGCGGATTCTCCATCTAAATCAACATAGCATAATTTTCAATGTTCAATTAATAATGAGAGAAACCAAAAATGTGTGCACAGACGAAGGAAAGAGCACGAACATTCTTTTTTCCTCTTTTTTTTTCTGTTCGCTCAATTTAGAGATCAAGACCTTACCTACTTTTTCTACCCTCATATAACAATACTAACCTCACATCACGCATAGCTCTTAACAATTCCATCCAATATTCTTTTCTTTTCCATTCAGGTAAGCTTTTTGTTCTTTGCTCTTTTTCTCTTTTCATTTGCTTGTATGGCACATCTAATAAGCAGGCACATAAAGGGAAAAGGTAACGCTCATTTCTTTTTTTCCTTCATGATATAATGTCATTTACGTGACCTCACATTATATAGAAAAAAGAACAATTGTTGATTACAAATGAAATACAAAGAATAGGAGATGGCAATCTTGTTTTAGATTCTCAAATCGTAAGAATAAATATATTAATAAAAATCTTAAAATTAGCTAATTCAATAAAATACTAGAATTATTTGGGATTCATTTAAATTATTCTCATTACAAAAAATGTTCCAAATAGGAAAGAGTAATAATGAGAAAAAAAATATCAATTTGAAAAGTTTGATATTATGTGTAATCATGAAATAATAATCATATATTGATTATTGTTCCACCGTAATATGCAAAGTGGTATGAAATAATCAGGAAATAAGACCAAACAGGGTCAGTAGAATGTTTACTAAGAATGATTTCGTTCATCTCTTTTAAAAGATTCAAGTTGATTTTGAATTTATTTATTCATTAAAAGATGTTGCTTGACTCTTTCCCATTTTTACTAACATGACGATATAGATGGTAAAAAAAAAGTTATCCGCTAGTCAGTAATCTAAATTTCAATATAGTCACTTATATGATAAGAAATATTACTATAATTTAACATATTTCAAACATAATTATTTCAAGTTTTCTAACAAGTATGAGTTACTCTCAAGTGTATTGGACGATAGAGAATAATGAGTTATTTTTTTTTAAATATATGAATACGGACCTGTACCTATAATAATACCACTCAACTGAAGATGTATAACAGTTATATAAGATCATTAGATAAATATAGTGTTGATAGAACGAATAAAAAAAATATCATCGTGTCGAAAACGACGTCAATAAAAATGCTGAAAGATCGAAATGACAACTACTGCCAGGAGAATGAAAAAATGAATAACAACATATACCGAAAGAACAGACAAATAACAACCAAATAGACGCACATAAGCATAAATTGTATATTAGTAGTTCTATTATCATCTATTTGTATCGTTTTGCTGACATGCATGCTTTGAATCTTTAGCAGCTAATATCATGAAAAAAATTTAGTAGAAAAATTTTAAGGGCATTATTCAATGATTATCATCTACTGAACAAATGATAAGTACAAAAATGCAATACTTTTACAAAGTGTAGCCTATTAACGTTCGACGCTAAGCTATTGTATCGATATATCCCATTAGTTTTACATACATTATTTCGATAGGAGACAGAATGAAAAGAAAAACAATTTTTTTGATACTAGACACCATGAGTGAATGTAAAAACCAAGAACGTCTCCGGTGATATTAATAGCCAAAATAGGCATTGAGATCATTACATTATTCATATAAGTTTTATTTTTATTTTTTTCACAAGAAAAATCCCTTTTTTTATTTAAAACGAAAAGGCGCACGAAAAGGATTTTAAGTAACAAATGAATATAAAGTTCTGGACCCACAGGTTTTATTATTTAGATTAGAAATTTTATTCATATTATTACCTACCATTTTCAAGAGATTTCAATCGTTTGAGTCGATGAAATAGGATACAAAGATTTTATTGATTCTATATTCTATTTATTGAATGGATATATCGAAAGACACAATTACTTCCTTTACTAACATATTGTCATTTTTGTACTGGTCGATAGCAAAACATAGAGCTGATAACTGTTGATTTACAGAATCTAATTTTACAATTTATTATTCGAATATAATCAAACGATTTGGCCACTGGAATACATCCGAGATGTATAACAAAAAAAAGGTGCACTCGTGTTTATAAGACAGTGACAAGGGACTAGTATTGGAAAATTGAAAATGACATAAAAAAAGGAACTAGAATAAATTTAAATGTTTTTGTTTATGTCAACAAACGAAATATAACTAGAGCAAGATCCAAAATATGCATTGATCAAAATCATCATTAAATACGCGAATATTCATGAATTGATATGTGATTCCTATTGTTATGTTAAGTTGTTTAGACTTGAAAATATCAACTTAACATAAGAAAAGAAATAGCAAAATTGGATACAATAATATTGTTCGAAATTTCTCATCTAAAGTAAAATAATATATCGATCTGAAACTTTATAATTTAATCCAATAATCTGTCAATATTTTGCCGCGCTTAAGTCTAAAAACGATGAATTTTAAAGACATTTGCAAATTTTCAACACACTTCATCGAATCTAAATCGTCACCTAATAGAAAATTTCAAGTGGTCCAGGTCGACGATAATCGAAATGCAACGTAGCGGCATAAATATATCATTAATTTATTTTATTTCATACAATAGTGAATAACTGCTTATAATAAATGGAAGTTAAATGAAAATGTGACTCTGCGTGGAAGAAAAGAATGTCATCGATATTTCAAACTGTTTAGAAATATTATTGGACATCAAAATAAAATCTAGCGTTATACGAACATTCTAATTCATATAGTGACAACTATTTAGGAGTATTTCTATATCTTAAAATGTATATAAAATGCAACTGAACTAATGAAATAGATATATTTTTATTCATGAATATTTTATTCCAAAAATAATGATGAATACAAATTCTATTTCATTACACGAACGATTATATAAAAGTCTTGCTTATTCTTTTTTTTAATTTTCTAGTATGAATAAATTTTAGAGAAAAACAATTTTTTTGTACGTAAAACAAGAGTATTTTCAATTAGAACTGTGTTTTTATACAAAGCTCAGAATCTAAGAATGCTTCGAATTATCTCCGAAATACTTTCTATTGTTACAACTTGTACCATTAGTGTTTCTAACAAGTTTTGGTGACATCATTTTCAAACTGACTTAATTTGAATAGTGAAATATACATTACCTATCCGATTATTAAACTAAGAGTCTGTTTAAACAAACAAAAAAATTCTAATTGTCCTCATTTGAATAACTATATCAGTGTCCGTTACGGTTGAAACTTACATTACATACGAATCAATATTGCAGTCAATATTGTAACACGTATCGAAGTTTATGCTACGGCGTACACAACTGTGCTATGAGCCAAATGATACGAGCGACCGTGTCAATCGAACTCGTGAAACTGTCATTGATAAAATAATCAAAATAGAAAAAAGATTGCGTATTTCTATCGGTGACTATTCGCAAATAAAATATGAATGTATATCAAGTGATTTTCATAGCCCTATAAAACAATACGGATTGTGAATGCGCAGGAGTAGTTGATATTGGCATATTCCTTAAAAGACTTGTACCTATGACTGATTATTACTGCTTAACATTTCTTATCTGTAAAGTTTCTCTATGAGTTGGCTACGACCATACTCTCTACTTCGTTCTTAGAATTACACATACAACCGATTGCACTTCTATGCATAAATATTGTTACAGAATAAGATTTAACGACATTATGGCTAATTTGAAATACATATCATCAAGAAAATGTAAACGATTTTTATTGTCGATAATGTGAATTGAATTGTGATGCCACCAAAGTAACATTAATACGGATGCAAATTACTATTTAGAACCTTTGCGCAAAAATAAATCTTATAAGGATACATCACAACTATACATTCTAGTTGAATCTATGGTCTTGACTAAATATTCAGGTGAATTTAGAAAGAAGCTTCTGGAATAGATTAACAAGTCTAATCAAACATGATCATCATCATAATGATCACTGATTTTACTCTCGCAATCGATGATGATGTAATCAATTTTGTGACAACAGCCATCGTTCTAATAACAGAGCAGTAATCGATCAAGGTGACACATAATCACTAAGATCGTTAGTGAAACAAATATAATTTGTCGTACTGATTACAGTCGAATACATTCGATAGTTACATTTGGTATATCATCTTATTTTAAGGTTTTGATACCAGCTGACATAGATGAATATTTGGAAGTCCGTTTGCGCGCTAAAATCATCATATACCATTTTTTTCACCAATCAAATTTGCAAATAAACTAATTTCTATTTACAATAAAAGCAAAATATGATCATATGCCAATTTGGAATACAAGTGAAATTTATGCATAGACAACATTATGGCGATACGTAAACCGAAAGTATTATTCAATTTAAGTTTGAATAGAGTATAGAAAGATAATTTAAACTTTGAAAAGAGCTCTGTCTCGAGACTTTTCATAAGAACTCTTACGGTTTATACATGATAGATTAACATAGAGAGAAAAATACAGACCATTGCATACCAGTTTTAAAGTATTCTACACTACTATTTTATTTTTGTGTTTCAATAAATTCTAATAAAATTAACTTAGCATACTAGAAGGATTATATTTACCTTTTTTGTTTGTTTGATTGTGATGTTTGTTGAGTCAATCTTTTCCAATTTTGTTTTTGTAAATAGAAATTGTAGATCTGAATTTTTAGTGACACTTGAAGAGTAATGACAAACATGCATTCATGATATTTTTTAATAGATAAAATCACGACATCGATTCTCTTTCACTAATAACCAATACACACTTTCAATGAATGTAAAAGAAATAATTATGATATCTACCAATGAAATAAAGAAGAGGTCAATAGTTTTTATTTTGCACAAGTATCATTGCATAATTTTCTCTAAATTCCGTTTTCATATTTACGTTGGTGATAAAAGTTTTGAAAAATACCTATTTTAAAATTTCGTTTCATCAGTAATGTAGTCGAGATATTTCTCTCTCTTTTTGCAATAACTACTTGAAATGTCATGTTTCTTTTTTTTCGTATAAATTAATTGTATATAAAAGAAATAGCAAGTATTTAAAATGACATTTACATGCTTTATAGTGATTTCATTATAGATAAATAGATCGTTTTACTTCCAAGTTCATGCAGTTAAAATGATGAAAATAGATGCAAAGAGCAGGAATCTTACTAAAAAGTCCGGTCTTTATATATTGAGAAAAGATTCAAAATCGTATAGGACAAAAGTTTTTTAATAATTGAAAATCAACGATTAATATAATTATAATTTTGGAAAATATTTTACTGGAACCAAACTGCAAAACAATACAAGGAAAAATGTAACTTACTAGACTCAATATTATTTCACTTAGTGAACGGCAATAAAGTAGACTGAGCAGAAACAGCACAACCAATATATACATATGATCATGGTATCAGATGTGCCAATAGATATGGAATTGAACTTCAATAGTTTATAGCTTTCATTCAGTTTGAATAATAGAATACATTAAAAATATGTATTTGGTGACATATGGTTCTCATTTGGTATAGATTTCTGCTCAAGTATAAATACAGTGGTGCTAAAAATATAAAGTCATCTTGTAATAACGACAACTGCAAGAATGAATGGTTTTATTGTCAAATCAATCGATTAGCAAACAGCAGATGTTTAGAATACGATTATTGTTTCATTGATGCAATCGGTCGATTTTACGTCAAAGGAAAAAACTCTTTATTGTGTTCTTTGCTTTGTAAATCAATGCAGGACACTGCGACATCTTTTAAAAAAAAGTCAGAGTAAAATTAAACATATTCGTATTAGATTAGATGTTGTATTGAATCTTATTAGAGTTACAAAAAAAGCAGTTAAATTTCAAAAGATTTCTCATTTCTGTTTTCTTTCAGTTATATATTTTTCAAAGTAATATTTTAAAACATATTGAATTTGAAAATATGGCTAAAGATAAAATTGAAGTTCGTCTGCAACAGTTACTTGACAATGAATTATCATCTTCATCAAATGATAAGAAAAAAGTTGACTCTGCTTATGAATCTTTAATTAATATTCTTCAAACACCTGAAATACGTCAACAATTACATGGATATCATGAATTAATTTTTGAATGTATATCTCAAATAATCCTCACACCATCGAATCAATTGTTTAGCGATGATGAATTACTTTTCTTACTGGAATCAGCATCAAACGCATGCGTTTTATCAATGTCACAAAATCAAATCATTGATAGTTGGTTACAAAACATAGAAGAACGTACGTTTGAAAAACCAGATAATTATGATGACAACGATGATGATGATGATTTATATGAAGATTTAACTGAAAGCGAAGAGGAAGAAGTAGACGAAAAGGTTACGATAACAAAAGACAATAATAAAAGATCAAATAGAAGTGAAATGAATAAAAATCAAGAAAGACAAGTGTTCACTCTTGATTCATTTCGTCATGGATTTAATTCAATGTCATTGCAACAGAAAAATCAACCATTACCAAGTATGAAAAAGAATATATTTCTATATTTCAAATATCTTGAATAATCTAGAACCAATATCGAATCAAAGTAATCTTCATACTACACATTCACATGATAATCGAAATGGTAAGTTAGATCATTAGAAATTGCATTTTTTTATTTCAAAGATCATATCGATGTTGTTTGGATGAAGCTACATTCACAGGAAGTGAAACTTGAGATTTTCTCCGTACGATGATACTTTGAATTCATAATGTTTAACTGAATAATAAATATGTTTTCCAATAGAAAAATGTCGATGAAAAGCAAAGCAAGAGACTAAGAAAATATCCACAGAAGCTTAGCAGTTCGAAAGTTTTTCAATTTTATATTATCATTCATAGAGCAGAAATTCAGATACGCAAAATCTTTGGACACTGAATAAATCATCATGCGTTTCGAAATTAGAATACAAACCTTCGTTTGTACATTGATTATCGATCTTTAATATAATTTCAAACTGACACATAAGAGCAGTTCAGTTGATATTTCGAAAATCTTCGTTTACAGTGCAACAGGAAGAGTTACTGAATCCTAAAAAACCAAAAACTACCGATCATTCCACATTCTTGTGTACCATTAGCGTTCATCACTATAACTAAATAGATCATCAAAAATTTGAACGAAGTAATCAAAAGGAAAATTCAGCTCGCAGCAACAATCATCGAAACTTCACAGGTAAAAATGACAAAAATAGTCTGATCAAAGGACCCAATGATAATGTGGCTAAAGGACGTCGAGCACCTCCATTCGATAACAAGTACGGAGTTGATCTTCGACTTTGTAAGTAATAAAAATATTTCAATATCTTTTCAAAACTACAACATGTTATTTATACTAGATGATTGTTATATTTGTGGTGAATATGGTCATGTACAATATGATTGTCCTAAGAAACAAGGCCATTCGAAAGTTGCATCCGGTGATCGTACTTCTGTTGACGTTACAAATAAGAAAGATCGAAACCAATCAAAATCTATTTCATCAGTATCTTCACTAGAAATAATTAGTAATCAAAAAGATCTAGATACCATTCAACAAGTTTATAATCAATCAACAAAATTACTAAATAGTTCGCAAACTATTGAAGAAAGAAATAAAACATTTGAATCGTTTCTTTCATTGATAAAACAGCTTCAACGACAAAATGGAGAAAAGCTTTCAAAACATTTTCATGAAAAAGAATCAATTTTCTATTCGCTTTTTTGTCATATTGCCCAAAATACTTATCTATTTACAAATGATCAATATTCAAAATTATATCGCCTGAAAAATATTTTACTACCAACAAAACATAATCTAGTAAATGAAGATCGGTCAATATTTTCTCGGCAACGTACTTTACTACCTTTAAATACTTTAGCGGAACATATGAAAAATACGAAACAAATTCAAAAAACCACATTTAACGATTTTCAAGAACACATTCTTCGCTCAACAACACCTATATCCACGACTTTATTTAATTTAATCAAATGTGCACTCAAATCAAGCACATATATGGATGTGAAATGCTGTGAAAATTTTACGAAAACAATTTTATTTGATTTAAAGAAAGATATTTTTTCAAACGAACAACTTAATGAGCTTCATTCATGTTTGAATGTTCGTATGAAACGTTTTGAACATAGTCGTCTAAAAGAAGTTTGGAAAGAACGATTAGGATTATTTAAAAATGATAAAATAACAGCTGACCTAAACAAATGGATCTCCGAGTTTGAAACAATTTTAAAAATAGATTTTAATGAACCCATAAAATCGGAAGCAATCATTGTAGATAATGCAATGTGGTATTTTGCTGTCTTATTAATGACTAGTAGTGGCCATTTAAGTAAAGATCAATATGAATATTTACTAAAATTAGCTATTCAATCCTCATTATTTAATTCTATACAAAAATTTTATTTTCAATTCTATTTGAATCAAGGAAACGCACCAATAACTATTCACGAATTAAATCAACTTAGAATTAAATTAGAAAGTGATAGTGTTGACGAGAAAAAATTTGTTTACGAAGCAATAAAATTGATACTGGATAGAAAAAAACCAACCTTTAATAATGAAAAAGTAAATTAATTATTTATTTATTTTAATTTTTCAAATTTTTTCTGTGTTTTTTTTCGTTATATTTAGATAGAACACGCTTCATCTGATATTAATAATTTATCTCAATGTAATGATCAGGTAGATTGTTGTAGCATGTTATCTACTGATTTCCAATTATTTGTATTTTAAAAATCTGAAGAAAAAAAAACTATATATTCATATTATCAATCGTTCTAGTGTGAAAGACAAAGATTGAATTGGATCGGAACCTTTTTATTAGTAGATTCTCCGTTTCGATATGTATTCACGAAGACTTCACATAAAAGCTAGATAAAATATGTTTACTGTGCAGTTCTGTGAAGTGAAATTCTTTGACTTCGGCAAACTCTGAAGATCGACTTGAATTGTCTTCAAGAAAGATTTCGGAGTGTTTAGTAGACTTAAACAAAAAAAAAGCTCTTGAACGAAATTCTCTTTTACATTTAGTTTTAAATTAATGATCGAATTTACAGTAAGATTAAAGTGTCTCCAAGAAAAATCTTTTCTTTTCTCATTTCACAAGTATCAGAACTATGATTCATTCGATTCGATTCTGAGAAAACGGCACGAACTAACTTCATTTTTGATAATAATCTAGAAAATTTATAGAAAACTAACTAATATTGTTTATTTCATCATTTTCTCTATGAAAGAGCAAACGAATTCACGACATAAAAATGCTAACTAATGACTGAAATTCTCATTCATATAAATGTCAGATAAGAACTTGCCTCAAAAGTGAAAAGATCTTCGTTAGTTACATTTTCATGTCAATCAACATTTAATATTAATATCTATCAACGAAAAGTGTAAGAAAACGCATAAAGAAACAATCTAAACGAATCCTATTTGATATTTTTTTTCCTACTAAATTGCATTTATTCATTCTAGCCAAACAAATCAGAAGATACTATTCCAATAATTGATAATCATGTTCTATCCCGTTTGATTTCTCTGATGGAAACGATTTGTACTGATACAAAAACATTTTCATCCGAACAACTAAAAGAATTACTGGATAAATTTCTGTATCAATCAATAATTGTTCGGCCGTTATCAAATGCTGAGCAACAACGATTACTGTCCTATTATTCTTTTCCTATATCATTGAATGAATTGAAAACATATTGTTCAAGAACGCAATTAGATTTAAATGATCTTCTTTGCTTACTTAAAAAAAGACCATTGATAAATAATGAAGAATTATATGATTTCTTGACTCAAACAATTATACAAATATTTGAAGATCGAGAAAAATTTTCCAATGAGAAATGTCAAGAATTAAAAATTTTCGTTCAAAAACAAATTCTTGGGAAAAAACGTTATCGATTAATCAATGAAAACTATGTAAAGTTTCGTTGCAATAAAAAAAACTTGCCAATAATTAATCGAACTAAACTCAACGAACTGTTAAATAATATTCTTTTACAAGATTATCAAGTAGGAAAACAAAATTGAACTTTTTATATTTCTAGAATATTTTGTTTTTTCGTAGTCTCATTTAGAATTTTTCACTTTCTTAGAAGAAATTTCTCAATCGATCGATTTCAAAGAGATATCGATTGAATTTGAAATAGTTCGTTGTTTTGTATCAACAATTATTCTTGTCATAGCCGACGCTAATTACTCAAATTTATCGAATTTTGCTTCGTTTCATCAACGTTTAAAAACTATTTTGGAACAAAAAAGAAATTATTTTTCGTCAGTTCTTTCTGAACAACAATATAAACTTATTCTAACTCGTTTAACACCAATATTGAATGTTGATTCATTGATTGACATATTAAAAACAAATTTAAATCAAATTAATTTTTCCAACTTAATTGATTTTATTAAAAATGAGTTGAAGCATCAAGATGATTTTGAAAAATTAATTCATTTTCTGCTTTATACATTTGATAACGAATTTTTATCCATTGAACAAACACTTGAAATATCTAATCTAATTTATAACCATTCAAATTTTAATAATAAATCATTAAAAAATCTTCTTCAATATCTTATTGAATTACTTAAATCTAATGTTCATTCATCACCGAAAGTATTTCTCAATTTAATTGAAAATAATCAAGAAAACAATCAAATTGTTAATCAAATTACAATTATGTTAACAGCTCAAAATGGAAAATATGTTGTTGCAGACTGGAGAAAAGCAATGATGAATATATTGAAAATTCTTTGTAATCGACGAGATCGGAATGAACAATTAAAAGATATTGCTCAACAATCATCAATGTTTAATAAAACTACATTCAAACAAAAATTAAAATCATGTTGGGAACAAACACCAGATAATACAGCTGATGAAAATAAAGAACGTAAGTTAAACAATGATATAACGCCAAGAAGATATTAGATTATTTAGTAGACGAGGCAATTGTGTTTTGTTTTGTTCAAGAAAAGTATATGAAATAGAAGAAAAATCATTCTTTGGTATTGATGCGTTTTCAGATCGAATTCTATGTAATTGAACCCATATTTAAAAAGATGAAAGCTATTTTGATTAATGTTTCTAATTTTTAAATTAAACACTCTCCTAACATTTTATCGATAGTTCATACTGTTCGAGAATAACTGGAAGATGTTGTGGCACTAGTCATCTTCTAGTGATTTGTATGAATTATTTATATGTAGAGGTTGACATTCTTTTGTCATATAGAGAATACATTTTTAGTAATGATACAACAAACCAATGGAATATTTTCCGTTTCGTTTAATCACACTATTTCATTTTGTTGCTACTAGAAACCTATTTGATGTTTTATTTCATTATTTTTGTAGAGATCATTTAGAAAGAATCGTTCTAGAAAATGAATACTGATTTCATCAAAACAAACGAGCTTCGCATCGAGTAAGAATCATACTATTTGAGCGAGTCAAAGATAATTTATTTTCAATTCTTAACTGATTTGAAATATCAAAATCACTTATGAATAACAAAGTTTTATGATCGCTTCTTCCGAAGTCATTAGAAACGGAAGGTAAAAAAATTTTAAAAGGCTATCATTCAAAACCATTTTAACGAAAGCGATGGTTCATTTACTAAATATTAACTTCAGCCTTTGTTACTGCATGGTTCCAATGATTATAATAGTATTTTTGATTGAAAATGGATTATGCTAATTACATATCATTCTCTTCACATATGAATAAGACAACTAAACATACTCAATAGTTTCATATCGAAAAATGAGTTGATCAATAAATAAAGTTACTCGATTTAATATGGTAATTAATGTATTAGACACCGATAATCCGAATCTAAAAGGGTTGTATTTTAAATGGATATTATTTTATAGTGTCAGAAAATAGAAACAATAACAGAACAGATGAGATTGATATTTGCAAGATTATGAAATTTCTTTAAATGAATAACCTTCTTTTTAAAATTTTAGCTGATGCTATTCCTAAGAATGATAATAAAAATGAATCGCCTGCTATGCATCGTGAACTGTTTCGTAATTTGGAATCAAATGATGCATCAATGAACGCACTTGCAGTACACCAACTACATACATGTCTTCTTAATCAACAACTTCCATCGGAACTTTTGCTTCAAAAGTTTATTCAAGCTATTAATATTGTAATAAGAAATGCTCATAAATTTACTGAAATATCATGCAACGAATGGGAAACATTAATTGCTGAAAATCGTGGCAAGGTAAAGAACGAAACCTTGAAAAACTTACTCAAAATATATATGCTTGACCTTTTGGTTTATTAGATTTTTTCAAGCGATGCCCAGTGCGATCAATTACTAATGGAAATACTTTTAGTTCGTCTCAATATGCCAACGGATACAATGAATACATTGAATCGATTGATACAATCAAAAAAACCACACGAAAGAACTAATGGAGTGAATCGATTTATTTTACTTTTGAAAAATACACAAATCAATAATGCGAAAAGTAAAACAATGAATTTACCAACTATATCAAATCAATTCTATAATACAATAACTCGAGTTGTATTTGATCAAAAATTCGATGATCGTCAAGTGCGACAATGTTTAACAACAGCTAAAAATTCTTGGTTATTAAATAATGGTCATCGAGAAAAACTAAATAATATTTAGTTTGGTTTTCGTTTTCTGTGCTGTAAGAGAAAATATTACAATATTATTTTCACATAGTAACGAACCTGTGATTTGTTCTTCAGCGATATTTCTTTGCATATTATGAAACTTATTTTTCTATGCATCATAAAAAGAGTATCAAAAGAACTCTTTCATTTGTATTTTCTTGTATTGTTCTTTTTGGCATTTGTGCTAAAATAAAGTTTCTTAGAGAATATATCACCACTAATTTCTTTATGATGATATCTACAAGATAATTGATCATAGGAGTGGCTTGAGGGTTTGGTTGTAGATATGAATGAAGAGACACAGTTATAAAAATGATCGCACATAATCTATGGTCAACCTAAACCCTCACTTTACTCTTGAGAATTAAATTCTATTTCAATGATTAGCTTCAGTCAAATACACACTTTAAATAGTTTTTATGAAAACGAATTTGGTTATGGTATATAATAAATATTTTAATAGAAAAATACGTTACAACAACCATATTCTCAGCTATACTATTCATATGGCGTGCCATCTTACTCGTTGTAGAAAAAGTGTCTATCAACAACTAATGCATAGATTTTGTACAATATTTTTCATACAGAAACATAACATCCTCATAATGGCTGCAAACTATGAAAGAAGTATCACGATTGAATATTTTTTTTCTTTATACATTCTATTCATATAAGTAATACTGATAACATTTTGGCTCATGAATTACGAACAAATGCATATACTGTTAGGATAACATACTGAAGTATGATTGTCTATTTTATAATATTCACCTTGTTTAAAATCTTTTATTTCATGGATACACAAGTATTATGAATAAATGAATCTTTTTCTTTCAAGACTTAACCATGAGATTCATGTTAAATATATAAAATATCTCATATTACTTGTACTTTAATCTATATATTCAGCATGCACAAGCTTAACATATCAATTACATGAAACTGTTCATTTATAAATCTTGTTCTTTCTTCAATTTTGAGAAGATTCATTTAAATATGTTTCATACAATAGTTACATTAATTCTAGGTTTTACATATCTACGAACAATCTCAAGTCAAAACTTGAATGGAATATTTTTAATTCATGAATGTGAATGTAGTTCTTCAAAGGAAACATGTGAACCCAATGGCCCATTTATATTAAATCAAAAACGATCGACGCTTACTGTTAAATATGGTTCATTACAAATTGGTGTTGGTACATTGGGAAATAATCAAGTTGATTTATATTTAAATCAAAATCGTTGTAAAGGTTTATGGGATGGAAAAAATCATATTGCTGATTTAAAATGTCAACATCAAGGTAATGTTATTTGTACCACTAAACTTCGTTGTTTATCAGGTTCCTGTCTTGATGATACATCAACAGCAATTTCATCAGCTCCAAGAAAAGCAACTTACTCTTTTCTATTCATGATTGGTATATTAATCATGTTAGTTTAGTTTTATTTATCAAACACAAAAAAAACAATTTTCATGAACAACAATAAGCCTCATAAAATTTTTATTTTAAAAATAAAAATTAATCGGCTTGTAAACGTTTTAGTTTTTTCTTGACATTTTTAACTAGTTTTGATGTATCTAGAAAAAGAGACAAAAAAATAGAATTTACAAAATAAATAGATAAATAAACTAGACCATCGGTTGTTGTTGCTGCTGCTGCTGCTTTTTGTTTGAAATCTGGTTGTTTTTCAACGGGTGGTATGTATTCTTTTTCGCGTTTTTCTTTCTTTCGTTGTAATGATACTTCAGTATTTTTATCTAACTTAACTTGATGTTTATCAGATTTTTTCTGACGTCGTTCAACTTCTCTATCAAAGTATACACCAGTTTCAAGTTCTTTATCAACCTAAATTTTTTTGAACAACAAGTAATGATCAACTAAAACAATTATGACAAACAATAATTTACTTTTGATAATGGTTGTGCCGGTGGAAATGGTGTGTATGGTTTCGTAGCACGAACTTTATGAGGCTTATAACGTTTAGAAAGATTTTTCGATTTAAATTTCGGAAGAAAACGATCCCAGGATTCACTTTTTAATTTTGGATCTTTAGCTAATTCCTGTTTTATCATTAATGTCTAAATAGATAAATGAAAACAATATGAAAAACAAAAGACCAACAGAACTTGTCTTTCGTACCTTAATATTGTATATCGGATGAATATTTTGCATTGTTTCTTCGACTATTTTTCTTGCCTAAAATTAAATTAAAAATTGAAATTCTTTGAAAAAATAGCAGTGAAAAAAATAGATACCTGTCGAATACCTTGATGAGGTCCAATAGCAGTAACTGTATTGCCGTGAACAAGAATATAACAATTAGTTAAAAGTTCAATAGCCTATATTGAAATAAAATCATACAAACATATAATCATTGATAATAATGATCTACCTTAAGTGTTGATCCATTTGAACCAATTAATCGTTGTCTTCTTTTAACAAAACGTTCTCGATTACGAACAAATGAACTAATCTTAATAATATCACACGCATTATCATCTTGAATAATTCTTATTGCCTGAAAATAATTAAAAATTAAAATTGATCGGATTGTTTAATGAAAAAAATTTCTTTTACTTGTTCGTAAGGAACGCTCCTTGCAAGCAACTTAATTAAATCTCTTGCTCGAATAATCATATAAGGATCATATGCATCACGTGTTGTTCTAACAGTCATACTACCTTCGACTAGATCAAGTTCAGCTTTAATACCCTTTAAATTTACATATAAATATTGAATAAAGTTTCTTTTCTATGTGTTCTGACTTACAAATTTTGTTAATTCGGCTTTGACTAATGGCCAACATTCTTGAAGATATTTTTCACGATATTTCGGAAATAAAGTTGCAAATGAGCTATCAGCAACTAACCCTATGAATATTTAAATTAAAGTTATTTTATTTTATTTTAAAAAAAGTAAAGAAAAAGCATATTCTACCACGAGGATTGTCTTCTTTAGTGAATGATGGTTCTTTCCATCCTGCTGGCATCTCTGCATATTCGTGTTCTTCTTGTTGATCTTTTTTATTATTTTTAACTTTTTGCTCATCATTAAATGAATTTTTCCTTTTACCCATAATTTATTTTTCTAAAAGCAAATTTTTATTTATAGAATTTAATGTGGAACAAAAAAAAACAAATCTAAATTATATATTGCGCTATAAAAGGAAAAAATACAAACGATTATTTATTATACGAATTAAATTATTGTTTCAATAGAAAATTTTCACGACAAAGTCCATTTTAAATATACGCCCCATATTCTATCTATATACAAAAAAGAAACATTGAGCGATACGGAATCGAAAATTTCGTTATAGAATGTTTGCTAGGTTTTATCACATTTAATAAATACTTAGAATTATTGTCTCTTGTGTATAATACTGTTCGTTCGTTAATATCACGTTATAAATAATATCTACATAAAACTGTTTTTGTTCAGTTAAAGAAATAGAAAAACGAAGATCTAGCAAAAGAAACGAAAAAAAAAGAAAATGAATTATTGAAAGACAAAAGAAAAGGAAGAAGCGATCGACCGTTTGTTCATAAATATGATTGTCTATATTAACAATTAATCGAATTCAGTATCAGCTTGATCAGGTCGACAATATTTGTTACGTTGATTGATATGTTGAGAATATGAACCTTAATATAGATGTCAACAGTAAAATCAACAGAAAAAAAAGAATATTATTCAATACCTGAATGGCTAAATCGTTTTCCACATTTATCACATATATACGGTTTCTCTCCTGTATGTAATCGTTCATGTTCTTTTAAATGATGTTTATGTTTAAATTTTTTCGAACATGTTGAACATTGATATCGTCGTTTATCATCATCTATATGATGTCCACCTGTGTAAGATGATGCAGTCCCACAATTTAACTGATCATTCGATCCAAGGCTTCTCGGTGTATTATGCAAATTTCCTGCTGCTGACATACGTGATGATGGTGCTGTATTTCGATTTCTTTTTCGTATAATTGTTAATGATGATGAAGATATTGAGCTTTCATCTTGATCATCAGATAAGTCACTATTATCCGTTAAGCCACCTAGAAATAAGAAATAACATAAAACAATCAATTTTTTTTTATCTATACAGATTGTTTTGTTTTTGGTTTGTTTTCATTTTTTAATGATAAACAACAAATAAGAAATAATATAAGACGCGTTTTTATAGCACATACACATCTTTTCTTTTGTTTCATGTTTTGCTTTAGCTCTAACAAGAAAAGATATAAATTTGATTTTCTAATAGAAGTAAAGGTATATATATATATATAATACACTATATTTTTTTTTGTATGTAAGTGGCAGTGAGTAGTGTATGCGTTATTTGAAAAGAATAAGAGAAGAAAGAACAAAAAATGATCAAATTCTAATAACAGACGAAACACAAAGATCATTCAAATGAGTTGAACGCCTGGTTGGCAACTTTTTAAGAGAATACATTCGAGCGAAACAGAGACAGACAGATAGAGACAAAAAACACAGAAAAGAAAAAAAAGATGAGAAAACACAAAAGGTTTTTATTTCGTTAATAATTATTATTATTGGCAATTGTCATTTTCTGTAATGATAGGTACAGGAGCACTATTTGCAATAGTATTTTCATCGCTACCATTTTCACCAGTGTTTACAATGAGCATTTTTTCACTTGTAGTGATTGTTGTATTAGTAACTGTAACACCAAGAGAAGATGTTGTAGCAGTGGTTGTACATGTTGTTGTCGCTTCTACTGTACTGCCTGAAATTGGAAAGAAATAATAACAAGAAAAAAAAAGGAAAGACAAATTATTGTATATAGTCAAATACACAATAAATAAAGGAAGAATACAATATAACAACATAGGTCCATGGAAATTAAAACAAAATTTTTTTTTCTTCATGCATCAATTCATTGTCTTTCACTAAATAAAAGATAAGATGATGCATGCAATCCCAAATATATAGATATAAATAAATATATATATATATATATATGTATGTGTGTATACAAAACAATGGCAATAGTGAAAAAAATCATATACACGAAGTGAACATGCAGACAAGGACAATAAACATAACAAATATATGCGCTCTCTCTCTCTCTCTCAAATTTTTTACTCATCTTGGCCAGAAAACATCAACATAGAGATAGAGAAAACCAACACCACATAGATAGGTAAAACGAAAAGGAAAATATTGTATTCAAAGTCAATCATAAAACCAAATAAAAAGAAATAGTCAAATATCAAGTATATATGTATTAAATTAAGCCCCAACTAATTCCACAAGTTCAGAGAAAGATAGGCAACAAAGAATCATAAATGTCAATAAAGCATTAGAGCAAATTCTAACCGTTTTCCTAATTTGTTTTTTTGTTTGTTGAGTTTTAAAAATAGATGTTGTTGAAGCAAATTATCTACATTTTAAGTAACATTAATCAAAAGGAGGGATGAGATGTTTTAAAAGAAAAGTATTATCTACAGCGATAGAGTGCTTGAGATTTCATTATTTATATAAACTGGCCAGCGAGAGAGCGCATGTTTTTTGTTGTCAGCATTTCTTTTTTCTACGTGTATATGTATATATGTTTTTTTTAATGCATCTATTGGCATGCAACAACTAGGAAACTACAACAAACAATAGGGAAAACGGAGATGAAGCAAGCACGGAGTAAAAATTAAAACAAGCAATGGCATGAGCGTACTACAGAAACATTCATAGAAAATTTACCTTCAGGTATAGGATTATCATTTACTAATGATGATAACATTTTTGGTGATGTCATGGGAGCAGGTGAAGCTAAAAAATTACAAATAAAAATAGAATAGAAAGTTTCATTTTTGTTTACCATCACTTTGTTGAGAATCAGTTGATTCTTCACTTTGCATATGTGCTTCATTTCCATTAATTGATGATGGAGGAATACTTGTTGCTGCCGTTATTGATACCGATGGTGGTGGCGGCGGTGGTGGTGGTGGTGATAGACTAGCATTGGGTTGTTGTTTGCCATTTGTATTAACAATTGAAGTTTGTGCATTATGTACAGTTGATGGTGCTGTTACAGGATGTGTCGTTTGACGATTTTTTAATTCAGTCGCTTTTATTTGCTCTAATTGAAATTGTTGTCGTTCTTGTAATAATTGTTGTCGTTGAATTTCAAGCATTTCACGTTCACGATCCATAATTGTTTCTAATTCTTCGAAATGACGTAATTTAATTTCTAATTTTTTAATTTGCATTTCAACAACTTGTGCAACAGCAGATTTTATTTTACGTTCTTCAATCGAAGCCAAATACTAAAAACAAGAACAAATCACAATTCCGTTTTTATTAAAATATTCAGTCAATTGATTTACTTTAGCTTTAACTGCTGCTGCTGCAAGTGCACCTGCTGCAGCTGTTTTAATATCTCTTTCATTAGCATCATTGGCTGAAGATTTTTTCGCAGTTTGATCAGCATTTGTTGTTGCTTTTGGAATAGTTGATGATGCATCATCAGTTATAATTTGTGTATCACCACTTTGTGAATTAATTTCTGTGGCAGATTTATCATTTTCATCAACATCCATTTTTTTCAATTCATCTTCATGATTGATCTAAATGTAAAAGTTTTCAATAGAAGATTTCAGATCATATAAAAAAATTTATTTACAGATCTATCTGTTGATGTGTGTTGTTCATCATTAACATCCATTTTTTCTTGTTTTACTTTTGATGAGTCTTCATTGTCGGTACTATTTTTCGGTTTATCTATGGTACTTTCATCTTAAAAATAACATCAATATTTTATTTGTTGTAATAGAAAAACTATGTTTTCTTTAGAAGCATACCTGCACTACTAGTTAATCCAAGTAATTCTAAACTTGCATTTTCATCAAGTTTTTTTCCTTTTTTCAAAGCATTTTCAATAATTTCTCGATTTGTTTCAATAAATGATGGTGAAACTTCGTCACGCATTTTAGAAAATTCATCCAAAGCAGCTTTAACAGCTGCACTTGAAACGCGTGGATCAACAATTGATGCAAGAAAAGCTACAGTTGACATAACGGGATTGCCACTTTGACTAAATGGCACTGGTTGATAAGCAAGTGGACCTAACGATGAACCATTGCCTTCCAAATAAGGATCTTCAATTGGTAGTTGAAGAAATTTTAATATACATTCATCTTGTGTACGTGTACCAACATGTTCACACACTTTATTCCAATCATCTTTATACATTTCAAGGCCTAAAAGTTACGAAAAGATATTTTTAATTAAGGAACACAAAAAAAAAAGAAGATTAAATAGTTTTACCTTCAAGTAGTAGAAGAATTTCTTGATCTGACCAGTCTTTTGCTTTCGTTTTTGGATTCTAAGATGAACGAAAAAAGTTAAATTTTACATATAAATTCAGTGAAGATGTTGGGTACCTATGAGTGATTTATTACAGTAATTAACGATCACTGTTCTTTTTCTTGCAAATACTCAATATATCAACATCTTCAAATTACTTTTACAGAATTAAAGTAAAGAAAAAAACATCAGTGTCAATTGCCTCGTCACACAGAATTTAAAATAACCGAAGTTCAAAGTTCTAAAACGTTCTATTTAAATACATCTATCCATCAAAACTACACTAACAAAACTGATCGTCGAATTCCATCAGCATATTTGTTCTTATTTAACTTTATAACAGAGAACAAAGAAAGATAAGTTTTATAAATTATCTGCATTCTGTTAATAAGATATTTCACATATATCTCCGATGACATTCTAAATTCGGATTCGATTTAATTAGTCATCCAATCAATCATTCAAACTCAATAATTGTGAACCAACCGCTTGTTTACTCTTACAGAATTCTCAAGTATCATTGAAGGAAAAAATGTTGTTCCAGCTCTACTAAGTCATCTTTCAGTTATCCTATAGATGACAACAATAAATTTATCATCGACTATATAACAAACAAGCTTTTTTCTGAAATGTTCGAACTATTTGAATGCTGTTTAACGTTTCTTTCATCAAATATAAACCATTAAAACAACTAAATTCAAAACACTTTACTTACTACAGTAAGTTTTTTATGATATTGATCAGTTCG